GAGTCTTTGCTGGCTGTTGCCCAGAGACATCAGTTCCTTGTGGTGTGAGGCTTTTCATAGGGCTGCTCATATGTGGCAGCTGGCTTCACCCACAGAGAGGGCTCGGAGGGAGAAAGACAGAGAGAGAGAGCGCTAAACAGAAGTCTTAGTCTTTTGTAACCTAATCTCAGAAGTGCCATTCTATCACTTTGGCCATATCTATTCATTTGAAGGGTGGGTGGGGGGAATAAATTAGGACATTGAGATTAACAGATACACATTACTATATATAAAATAGATAAACAACAAGGTCCTATTGTATAGCACAGGGAACTATAGTCAACACCCTGTAATAACCAATAATGGAAAAGAACCTGAAAAAGAATATATATGTATGTATATATATATACACATATGTATGTACAACTGAATCACTTTGCTGTACACCTGAAACTAACACAACATTGTAAATCAGCTATATTTCAATTATAAATAAATAAAGTGAGATAGCACCTCTGGCTCTCAGCCGAAGGGAGGGGATGACACAGAGGGAGGACACCAGGAAGAGGGATCATTGGAGCCACATCTTAATTAAAGGCTATTTACTACAGGTAACTTGGCTTCTGTGTACTTCAGGTGTGTCATCTGTAAACATCTACCTTGTAGGAGACATTATGAGAATTAAGAGAATTAAAACATGTAAAGTGCTGAGAACAGTGCCTGGCACACGATGAACACTAGAGAAATATTAGCTAAGTATGGACACAAAAATAATGCAAATACATATGCCTACTTTGTACAATGCACGGTACTAAAAGTCCGCAGTGGTTGTTCAGGAAACACTTGCCTTAAAAGACCCCTAATTACTCAAAAGAAGTTTGAGCACATGGAAATTACCCCAGAAACAAAAGTACTTTCTAAAGGTAAAAGTACCTACTATAATTACCAGGGGGGCCTCATAGTCACCTCCAAATTTCCCACAAGCTCTCCCCTTATCGGAATTTCCACCCAGCAAGCCCCAATGCACTCCTGAGTCACCTCTACCTCTAAACAAAAAAAGCCACACTTCACTCTGAAAATGCACACCAGTTGCCTGACTGCAGAAGCTGCCTCATTTGCAAAACCACACAATTTGTAAGTTACAGAAAGAAGACCCGAGAGCTTGTCTGCCTAGCTGGAGCATTTCTCACCCGCTGCTCAGCAGTTTAGGTGAGATTGGGGGTCCCCTGTGAGTTTTTACAAACAAGACCCACCCTGATATTGTTACTTATTATACCCCTAGTCTTTTTTTTTTTTTTTTTTTTTTTTTTTTGCACGTGTTACTCATAACTCCACTTTCCATAAGGTAATGAGTGCAGATGAATCAAATGGGGATACTAGGGCTCAAATCCAGGCCTTGACTCCTTCATCAGGAGCTCCATATATTGCATTCCATCCGTATTAATGCTATATAGAGTGTAGTACCTCTAATGTTTTTCAGGTAAAGCACTATCCTAAATATTATCATTCTTCTTCTTTTTTTTCTTTTTCTGGTACTCGGGCCTCTCACTGTTGTGGCCTCTCCCGTTGCGGAGCACAGGCTCCAGACGCGCAGGCTCAGCGGCCATGGCTCACTGGCCCAGCCGCTCCGCGGCATGTGGGATCCTCCCAGACCAGGGCACGAACCTGTGTCCCCTGCATCGCCAGGCGGACTCTCAACCACTGCGCCACCAGGGAAGCCCTATACCCCTAGTCTTTAAAGGGTAGTACAGAGGGGGAGATGGCTTAAGGAGCAGTGTCCTACTTCACACATGTCCCTGTTGTGCAATCCAGGACTCAGTGGGTGGGGGAAGGAAGCCAACCTGTCCTCCAGCAGATGTGGTAAATGGGTCATGAATTAGGCGATAACAAAAGGCTGGACCTTTCCCCCTGCCCTCCCCAGGCCACAAGTCACCCAGCGGTAGCAGCAACTCCCAAGGGCAAATAAACACAACTCAGCACATGGGCCCTCCTGATAGAGGGCTCTAGCTCACAGCGCTCAGTGTGCAAAGCCACTTCTTTCTGATTCAAAAGCCCCAAGGAAGCAGGAAGACGGAAGGACTAGAAAGGCCAGCCTGGCAGCCTGGAGAGGTCACTGATGTGGGTGAGCAGCCAGCCTGTGCATGCTCACCCCACTCACCCTTAGCAACTGCCCAGAGATTTTTTTTTTTTTAATTACCCAGGTCAATGTAATCAGAAGTGCAATGATGTGGAGGAAGCAAGAAGAAATGTCTCCATATCACAGGAGGCGTCTGCCAGGGTACGAGTGGATGGATTCGTTGTATTTTTGGAAAAGTAAACCAAATTCTCCCTGCAGAGAATTGCTTTTCTGTCCTTTGTTTCAACACCTCTAAAACCAAATTGCTTTTAGAACAACCAGGGCCTAGCTGTCTGGAATACTGAAATCTCATATCAACATGACAAGGGTAGGGACCCACTTCTCCAGAGAGTGCTAGTAGGATCTGAGAATGGTGGCCACCTGCACTGAGAGGCCAGAGCTGGAGAGAAAGAAAACAAATTCTGGTAATAAATTCCACTTGCTTGGGTTTTAAATGAAAAGTGGAAAATATTCTATCTTCTCCAAGAAAAGTGAAACTGGGTGATTTATTTTTTCTGTTGTTGTCACTATTGTGTTCTTTATGCTATAAAAAGGTAAAAATGAAAGAAACAGAATATGATTAAATTTTTTCCTCTCATGGTCAAAAGGAAAGAATTTATGTAAAGTGTACCCACAAAATTCAGTGCTTTATTACAGCTGTGTAACCGTTTTGTGTTGAGTGTGCTAACCTTGACTCCTTAACCAGACTGTAAGTAGTTGTTGGGTATAACTGAAAAGGATGTAGACTAGTAGTTAAGAAGGAGGGCTCTGAAGCTTTTCCAATATGATCACCTGTGTGATTCTGGAGATCTCGAGCAAATTAATCTCCCTGTGTCTCGACTGTAAAATGGAGATGATGACAATAATATCCATCATGTAAGATTACTGCAAAGTCCTTAGAACTATCTATGCCTGGCACATAGTGGACACTCAATAAATATCAGTTATTTTCTTGTATTCCCCAAAGTACCCTTCCAAAAACTCAGATTCAGCCATGTTACTGTGCCTTTCAAAACCTACAGTGGCTACCCCTTGACATTGACATAAAGGTCTTATCAGGCCAATTGAGGCTCCCATGCTCCATCTCCACACTCCCAAGTCCCAATGCATTCTCTCACTGTGCTTTAGCTGCTGCTCCAGTATCTTCACCCCCGCCTATTCATCTGAAAACCTCTTCCGTGAGTGTTTGGTTACTGGCATTGCTCCCTTACTATAACAGAGACTAAACTGGAACCACTCTCAGAGCCCAAACAGTAGCCGGTACATAATAAATGTTCCAGAAACATGTACTGAATGACTGAATGACATCACATCTATTATTTTTCAAGATTTAGATCAAATTCCACCAATTCCATGCATGTAGCCTTTCTAGATGCCCTGTATAAGATTAATCTTTCTTTCTTCCGGCCTCTAACAGTATATTTCTTGGACAGATTTTATTCACTGATACTCATTAATATTATTAAACATTCACTAATAGTATTTTTTTAAATAACAGCTAATGTTAAGCAGTGCTTATGATGGGCCGGGTTCTTGGCATATTTCAAACTCACTTAATCCTCACTATCCCACCTATAAAATAGGGGCTCTTTTTATTCCACTTTCTCAAATGAGGAAATTGAGGCACAGAGAAATTAAACAACTTGTCCAAAGTCACACAGATGGTAAGCGGAGGCCACCGTTCTTCACCCAGTCCTTACCACCGTCTCTCCTACACCTTGCACCAAAGTCTTGGACTTTCAAGGGATCTCAAAGATGAGGATGCGTTGTATTGGAGGATCACCCACTGTCTTCCGGGGGCTTCAGGACCCAAGCCACATTTCTGACATTCTTATATTCTGGAGATCTCAAACTCTCCTTTTAGCCAACTCTGTCCACGAACTCCCTCCCCGGCCTGCTGGCAAGTCAAAGACGCTCGATTCAACGAAGGCTTCGGCAGGTCCGATGAGAAAGGAGTAGTTTACCTCCTCTCCATCTTGGGGAGCAGGACAAAGGAGTGACCCAAACACACCCCTAACAGACCAGCACTAGGTCCCGTGCCCGCTGCAGACCCAACCCCAGCCCCTTGCCCTGCTCTCGCCCAAAGCTCCGGCTCCCGACCCCGCGCTCCAGACTAAGAGCTGGGCTGGCCGAGACGCACGCCTCCCCTGCGCGCTGCTGACTCAACCCGGGGAAGTGAAACCTCTCGGTTTTTTCCGACCTGTTGTCGTCGGGCGCCCGCGTCCTGCCCCGCCCACCATCCAAGGCCCCGCCCCGCCTAAAGTTGTCCTGGATTGCGCCCGCGGGACGCGTCGGCGTGACTCCCCGGGGTGTGGCCAGAGGGTTTGGGCAACGCCTTCCCGAAGAGCGGCCCCCGCCTCCGCAGCCCGGAAAATCAAGACCCCACGCGGCGGCTACAGCGCCGACCGGACGTGCTCACTGGCGCGGGTCGGGCCCTCAGCCCCGGCAGGAAGCGCCCGCGCTAGGCGGTTCCCCGTGCTGCCAGCTGGAGTCGGGCGGAGCCGGCGCTCCAGCGCAGGGTGGCTCTGCCAGTCCCCGCGCGCCTGGGCGGCCGCACACGTATCCAAGCGTCACGTCCGCGCGCGCCCCCGGGGCTTGCGTCAGTTGCCGCTCTAGGAGCGAGTGGGCCGTGGTTCTGCGCACCGCTAGGCTTCGGGGCTGCGACGCCTCCGGGAGGAGGAGTCTGGGGGCGCGGAGGGGTGTTCGGAGCGCCGGGGACCGCGGAGATAAGTCAGCGCGGTTCGGACCCCCGCCTGCCCGGCGCCGAACGCCTCCGCTGCTCGGTCCCGGGCTGGGCGCGGTGGCGTTGCCCAGGAGCCCGCCGCCCGCGGGGCGCGCACCGCCTTGACCCCGGCGGCCCCGTGGCAGGCAGGCGCCCGCAGTTCCATGGTTGGTTCGGAGCGCGATGAGCCGCCCGTCCTCCACCGGCCCCAGCGCTAACAAACCCTGCAGCAAGCAGCCGCCGCCGCAGCCCCAGCACGCTCAGTCCCCGAC